ATGACCTGACCTGACTCTCAGGTGACCTTGACACCCACCTAAATGCATGGGAGCAACATCAAATCACATGTTTGAACGTTTGAAACCACGAAAAGCTTACAAACGTGCGGCTAATGCGAGCCGACATACGCGGAATCGCGATTCCGGCCAAACATGGTCTCGGAAAAGAGGTCACAGGTCATAGGTCATTTGGGTCAGGGTCATGAAATTTTTACGGTAGGTGTAACATTGATCAATGCGAGGGTACTGAAAGTTTCGGTGCGATCGGCCGCTTTTTACGCGAGTTTTTCGCGAAAAACTATGGGGGGGTCCATCCGACCCCCCCCCCTACACATGCGAGGGTTATGATATTTCATTGAAATACAATATAACATTCATGTATGCAATAGCGAATCCAATAAGTGGCAGTGATTTGACGATGCATGTGTTGCATTCCCTGGAGAGGTTCTCTAGCTTCCAAAACTCTTCGGATTTTCCTATTTTACGCCTAGCTGTCGAATTTAGAACAAATATTTTCTGATAAATATACTTTAGTTTTTTTTCACGCAGTCAAACGGGCACAGTTGCTCCATTTTGGATGTGTCTGGCAGGTTAAAAGTCCTAAATATCCCCATGATCCACCACTGCATGGTTGGCCCTCAGCCTGTCCAATGTTCATGCTTTGAACGCATTTCTTTTTATTACAAATTTGTGCGGTAAATTTCGTGAATAAGGTTAATTGCTGGTTAGCCCAGTTCAGCTAACCATTCGCTTAGTTTAATTTTATGCTTGATTGATGGAGAAATATGCTGCTGACTTATTTATCGATTTTTGCATAATTAATTAGCCTTCACGCCGCAAGCCTAAAGGTGCAGCAGACAATGGAGTGTTGCAAAATAATTTCCACAAATGCATGAGCAATAAATACCTAAAAACCAGAGCAAACAGCATTACAGTGGATATCGGCTGCGAGTATCTTTGTAAAATGTGATTTGAATTTTTATCATACATCTGTAAATAAGTGCATAAAGGGTTTTTCATGTACGTATACCTATAGGACTATATATGTAGGTACAGGGACCCGCAGTTGCTACTGTACAAGTGTACAGCGACCCTGAGTAAATTGTCCCAGCACCCTCACAGGGAACAACGATATAGGGTACTCACAGGAAACCTCAGCTGCTCTTGTACAGGGACCAGCAGTCGATATCAATGTTATCGGTTGTTACTGGACAGGACAGACGGTTAGACTTGGGGTTCGTGTACAGTAGCAACTGCGGGTCCCCGTACAACTTCATATGCACATGCAAAATATCCTTTCAAGTTTTAAATGTGCATTGCCAGTGAACTAAAATAAAAAGTGGATAAAATAATTCAGCCACTTCAACAATTTCCATGTTTTAGTTTGGTGCTGACAGAGCTATATTGACAGTTATCAAAGGCCATCTATATTACTATTTGAACAGGATCCATCTGTCTGTCTGTCTGTTTGTCCGCCACGCCGTGTAGTGGGTTCAATTTAGCCGGCCTACAGGGCAGACGGTATATCGTAGGGGGTTGAAATTTGCACACCTTATAGGTGACAGAGCGGGTCAGCGCCTTTTCTAGGTTCCGACTCGCTGGGGTGCACGGTTCGCGCGTGGGGCGCGCTGGAAGAACGCCAATGAAATTTTGATCGGTTCGTAGATCTTCATTGAGAGCCGGGGTCGACAAACTTTGTGGACTAAATGCATGCCGATCGGCGGCGAGTGCCTCGCATTGGCGGATCGGCAAGTTATTAATTTGAATGAAAAGTGGCGAAAAAATGTGTTGATTTTCGTTCAATGGAAACAGTTTGTGATACGAGTATACAAATGCACCGTGTTTGCCGCAATGCGCCACTTTGGTGACAAGGCGCCATTTTTGCCGCAAATCGCAGTTTTGTCAAATATGACCCGATAAGGGTACAATTTGGTGCAAGGGTGCATGCTCAAACAACAGATACAGATGCGCCGCCTTTGCCACAATGCGCCACATTTGTCACAATGTGTCATTTCCGACAAATACGATTAAGCGTAATGGAATGGCACGAATAGGGGCGGGGCTGGGAACAATTTATGTCTGATATTTTAGTACTGATTGGATCCAATTATTCTGTGACCTGATATGACCCAGCGGTGTTGGTAGGGGTAGGGGTAGGGGTAGGGGGTAGTGGTAGGGGTAGGGTAGTGGTAGGGATAGGGGTAGGGGTAGTGGTACGAGTAGTAGTAGGGGTAGGGGTAGTGGTAGGGTTAGTAGTAGGGGTAGTAGTAGGGATAGTGGTAGGGTAGTGGTAGGGGTAGGAGCATGGGTAGGAGTAGGGGTAGGGGTAGGGGTAGGGGTAGTGGTATGGGTAGGGATAGTGGTAAGGGTAGTGGTAGGGGTAGTGGTAGTGGTAGGGGTAGGGGTAGGGGTAGGGGTAGGGGTAGGGGTAGTGGTAGTGGTAGGGGTAGTGGTAGGGGTAGGGGTAGTAGTAGGGGTAGTGGTAGGGGTAGGAGTATGGGTAGTAGTAGTGGTAGGGGTAGGGGTAGATGTAGTGGTAGGGGTAGGGGTAGGGGTAGTTGTAGTGGTAGTGGTAGGGGGAGGGGTAGTGGTGGAGACAAAAGCAGAACAGTGGCCCGGGCTGATCCCAGCGGACGAGAGGTGACCTATGTGACCTGGCCTGACCCAAAGTGACCGGGGCTGACCCCTTTGACCCGTCTTGACCCCGTATCACCCAAATTTCATCCAACAACGCCCTCAGAACAGTTCTTTTTTAAATTCTCTTCACATTTCCGTCCATATCTATGCTTCTAGACGACACATCGACATGAATCAAACACCATTCGAAAGCAAATTGGCTGGTGCCGCAATTTTTCCTACCACGCAGCAAAGCAAGTGGCGCAGCCGCTTGTCTATATTACTATTTGAGGAGGGTGCGTCTGTCCGTTACCGAGGTCCCGACTTGGTGGTGCTTTGCGTGGACTACAGGCCAGACCGTTGCACCTAGCCCGGTGAAATTTGCACAACTTATAGATCAAAGATGCGCGACGTGCCTTTGAGGGGTCTCAGCTCGATCGGGTCGTTAGTGAGCGTTTGGCGCGTGTCCAAAAAGTGCAAATTCGCGTCATAGACTTTACATGTATAAATCGGCGTGCGAAATCGGGCGAAAACGGCCATATTTGGGCGACACGGGTCCAGTCCCGGTGCAATATCTTGGTGACCAGGGGTCCGACCGGCACGGGGAAAACAGCATCGTGTAGATAATTGAATGGGCAATTGAATGGTGTGCGATATAGAGGATAGCACGCGCCACGTGCACCGGGGAGGGCACTTTTGTTGAAAAATTGCGGTTTTGGGCGGATTTTGGAATTGATTTTATTATTAGGTGACCGTTTAACAGAGCGAGATGGAACAACGCCTGTTGGCAAGAGAAATGTACCGTCTATCATATAAAAATTGTGAAAAGCTGATTGGTCCAATTCTAGGTGGTACGAATCACGGGAGAAAATGGTGTTTGTCAATTTTGTGCCACTTTGTTTATCAAAATGGTTTTACTCCATAATCTGATATCTTTGGCAGTTAAAAATGGCACCGTTGGAAAGAGCATTCAATTCTGTCCAAGGTTCAGTCTTCACTTTTGCAGGATGAGCAACAGTATTCTTAAAAATGTTAATGTTCCAAACCATTACATTGTCATTTTTAGCGAAATTCATCGATGGCCCTCAAAACACTTCACGCCAGTTTTCGAATCATTCTAAAGCAGAACGCATGATAATACGACACGGGCACCTCGATGCGATGTATCGTTGTTTTCTTACAAAATGCCTGGCCGTCAAAAAGCAATCGAACGAAATGGATATCTACCAACCAAATCGACACAGACCAACCCAATACCCACGGGTCAAAAAATCCCCCCTTCGCGTTGCGGAGCACGCGGGTAACCCTAGTTTATAATACAATTAGCGCAAAAGGCCATTGAAACTTATTGCAAGCGTCACGAGTGCCAGGCCACTAAATATCGTTCGTCTGCAGCAGGCCATGATTGAAAGCATTCCACCGGCTCGACATTTCATGTCTATTAGACAGGCATCGAACGGGAAATGCTGGAGATTCCTTTCGGGTAATAATTTTATAAATTTCTTCCCAGCACTAGCTTTTATGGGTCAATTTAATGACGTTATTCGTCATAGACGGTCAGCAATATTCCGCCGGAATTCGGTGTCCCATTCGTCGTTCAGTCGCATTGCTACAGACACGGCCACACTTTCCAGCTCGTAAGGTTTTCATATTTCATGCTCTTTGGTCGATATTCCTAGTCGTTGCAAGCCGCCGCGTCCGCTATGCTTGAGGCCGTAACGCACTCGGCCGGTGCAAAGGCTACTGAGAATGCCGATACTATGATGAAAGGTGAAAGTAAAGGAGTACTTGTTGGGAAATCAAATGATTGTTAGAGAAGACATTGAAAATAGTGTGTAAAAGAGGTCACGGTGAAACTCGTAGTGTGCTGCAATTATACATGAGTGATAATAATGGGGACGGGTCTCACTGAACTCACCTATCCGTGCTTCTATCCTCAGGATACTGAAATCCTTCTCCTCCGCGCCACAATCCCCTTCCGGGCTGGACAGGCAACTTTATCTCATGCGGGCTGCTCCCTTGGAGTGGCACCGCTGCTCCCGAGGGAGCTGCACCCCGTAGCCGGGTGCAGAGAGTGCTTGGGGGGCTGGACGGCCTGTCCTATGGACGGGCTCAGCCCCGGCGACTCTCTAGGGTGCCTGCCCAGACCAATGTCTCCCCCTAATTCCTATCATCCTTCCGGCTCTGCAATGGTCTTGTCGACCGAAAGGGCCTAACCCAATAAAACAAACAAACAAACAAACAAATCTCACTGAACTCTTTGCCAGCACACACTGCAAATTTGGCCTTTGAGTCTTTTGTCTTTTCATCGGCACATATACATTCCTCTCTCAGATTCCAAGCCTCAAGACTGTTCACGCATTCCTTGATCATGCTGCTCTGATATGCTCTTCATCCTGATTCTCTGCTCGGTAACCCCAGCACACCGTTAAATTGTTCGGTGTTTCCTCCGCAGTGCTCTGCAGGTAACCCATGTTGTAAATGAGACCTATGAGAGTCAGACATTTCGTTTTTCTCACAGTCAATGACAATCCAAAAACAATGTAATAAGACCAGACGTTTCGACAACAAAGTGCCTTCGTCAGTGGAAAAACAAGATATAGGCTTTACATCGATAAAAAATATAGAAGACGACCAGCCTGCACGAAAAAAAGTTTTTGGATTGTCATTGACTGTGAGAAAAACGAGACCTTCTATAGCCACAGTCCCTGCAGGGCCTAAGTCTGACCACGCGTATGGCGTCGCCAGGAGTGTGCCACGGTGTGCGGCCAGCTGGGCGTGGCCTACTCGGCAGTGGAGACGATGGACCTCGAGCTGGGCACGTTGGCGTGCCTGTGCGCTCCCACGGAGGAGTTCGAACTGGTCACCGCCTCCTCCACCGAGTGCACGGCCTGCTCGGACGGCTCGTGCGGCGGTGTCGACGGCATCGTCATGGTGTCGCCGGCAGCCGAGGACCTGGCCGCGCTGACAGTGACCGTGGCGCCCGACGGCACGCCCGTGGTGGCCGGCTCGGCGGCGACCGTCTCAGGTTGGTGGTCGGCGTGACTTTCCTTGACTTTCTGGGTGACTTTCTTGGGAGGAGGAGGGGAGAATCGGTAGGGAGGAGGAAGTGGAAAACGCCTAGTGGTAGGCATGTGTTGTTCACATTTTGCCCTGTCGACATTCACTATTTTCAGACAAAAGATCCTGCATACCGGCCATTACCCAGTTTACCGGGTAAGAACGCCTTGTGTCGTCATTGTGTAAGCAATTTTGTTCGGACCCAGGAACGCCTACAAAATCTAGACATATGGATGAAACAGCATACATTACTGACAAGGAATTACAGTTTCCGCTGCAAAACAAAGGCGACAGCATTGATTTTACTTCGGTATTTTGGTAATGCCGCTTAACTACAAACACGCAACGTAACATGCAATAAGCCTCCGTATCGTACATGTGGCGCAAGGTGTTGACGCCTGTATTATTGCTTTGTGTTGCACTATCAGAAGCTCCTCGCCTAAAGGGAGGTCACTCGGCCATTAACTAACACGCAAACAGGTGTATATGCACGCAGGCCGCACAAAAAAAAAAACTCGTAAATATTTGGTGCTTCATGAAACAACAATATGTACAGACCGAACTATTGCGGCTCCTACATGCTATATTGTGAGAACCGTCTGCCATTATTAGCCAAGCCTGCCATCCCATGGCCAGCAAATGTATGTATCTTTTTAGGGCAGCTACTTCCAGGAACAGCCAACAGGAATATCTGGGGAAATTATCGTTGTTGTTCAGTCTTATTGCCATTTATGATGACCCTTGACACTGGCAGCGGTGTTACCGGCTGACTCTTTTCCTTGATTCATTAGGCTAGGCATTCTATTTCTGCGTGTCACTCCTCATATTCCTTTATCGATATCGTGGACAAATCTGCTCACACGGTAAACATCATGATTGCCTGAACACCGTACCTACCTATTTGTTGTTTATCGACCCTCTTGTGTATAGTCAGGTAATACGACGCAGTAAGCACCGTGACCTAACCTGATGTGACCTCCGTCGTAGCTACCGGTAACATGACCTGACCCTATGTGACTCTTATAACATTGCCAATGTTTACATTGCATGATCGGATGTGACCTCTGCTGAGGTTACCGGAAACATGATCTTACCCGATGTGACCATATGACGTAGCTTACGGTATAGCATAACCTGACCCATAGGCCATAGACCTGACCCGATGTAACCTTCGTCGTACTATTATTACCAGCATGACGTGACCTGATGTGACCTCTTCCGCAGCTACCGCTGACGTCAATGATGTGGAGTTCACCATTCAGGCCGGCGATCGGTCACCGGCGTTCAACATCAGTGGCGTGGATGACACGACTGGCAGTAAGTCACTTTGTCTGGGAGGGGGAGGGCCCAGAGGTAGCATGACCTACATGAGCAAAGAAATATCGCAATTCAAAGCAGTATACAATGCTTAGCGCAATGGTAAACAATTTTTACGTTTTATTTTGCACACATTTCCCGTACGCATCATGTAAAATTGAATTGATTAACTCTATTCTATGGTGTTTAATTTTACTTGGCAAACCTATGTAAGCACATCAAATCTAAACCTATGTACTGCACTTTTTGAGCCATTGGCGAACTTTGTTGAAAGCACAAGGACACACATAGCTGATACATAGAACATCAACATCTTAATTATTACCGTCCTACTTCTAATTATGCGTTATCGTCTCACGACTGACATCGAACCGTTGCCTCGTCGTTTCGGTCACGTGAATGTCACATGCCTTCTGCGTTTCTCGCAGCCAGCGGCGCGACACTGAGCCAAGAAGTGTTGTTCTACTATCCGGGCACGTTCACCATCTCTGTATCGGCGCAGAAGCGAGCTGGCAAAGCTGTGCTCAGTCAGCAGGTCTCGGTGAACGTCACCCAGGCAGCCAGCCTGCTGGAGGCCAACTGCCCGCCGGTTCAGGAGCCCAACATTCCCTACTTCTGCGGAGCCGCCGTCACAGGGTCGGATACGTCGGTCAGTGGGGGAGGGCTGATCTGGCAGTTACTCTTCACCATACTGAAATGCTATCTTTTCTATTGTTATGCATCACTTGTCTGTGTTAGTTATTTCCTGTGAACAGTGTGCGTTTTGCTAACCTATGGAAAAGTGCGAGAAGTTGTATTCATCTAGTGCACTGAACACATTTTCGGTTCGGTCCGTTTCAGGTGACTGCCACGTTCAGCGATGGAGCAGAGTTGACCGCCCAGCTTCCCACCGTGCCTATCGTCCTGCGTGGCTCGGCCCCACCCCAGGTGAGACAAACTGCCTTCTCGACTCGGACCATTCACCATGTGAAAAGTAACCATGTAGCCATGTGAAAGAGGTAATCTACTTGATGCTTTACAAACGAGGGTGACAATGACCCGTTGTGGCCCTGCTGTTCCAAGAATATTCATCAGCTTCACCTCTTTATGGTCACATTTGTTGCTACTTTTTACCGCGTTATGATGTTAACGATTCAAGTAATGGGCCGCTGCATCACTTTTATTTTGTGTGCACCTGAAAAGGCTTCCCGGACCGCATGGTATGGATTGCCTTGAAGTAGAACTCTATTGACTATATTTTACCTTCCGCGGCTAGCAAGAAGCGCTGCACCACCGCGCAAGTAACTTGACCTCCCCCTTCCCCTAGAGCGCGATGGCCAGCGACGCAGAGAGGCCGACCGGCTCGGCGACGTTCCTGGTGGCTGCGCCGTTCGACACGCCGTCCCGCCTACTGTCCGTCAGGACGTTCGGCAGCGTCGCCGGCACCTGCACTGGAGAGGTGCGTCTGGAGGGGTAGCCGCAGGGTGGTGTACTGGACTCTGGCGTATGGTGCAGCATGACATGGTCATTGATGTCATGACATGTCTTTGTGTTCAATGTTTTCATATCTTTTGATGCATGTCGACGGTTCATGTTTTTCATTGCCCATTTGCTGTCTACAAAAAATATTCGCTCTTCGTTTAGGTGCACTCATTTCTTCTCATGACTACGCCATCAAATGATTGCTATAAGACCGGCCCCATTGTCCACCGTTCGCTGATGGTCTTGCTCCTGGCTATGCTGACTATTGACTGTTGGTCCTGGCTTTGCTGACTGCTCCTGGCTGGTCTCCCCACTGTTGCTAACCGCCTGTTTCCGTGCCTCTGTTCCAGGTGGTGACCCCCACGTGCACGGACCCAGACGTATTCTGTCCGGGCGCCGGGTGCACCAGCTCGTGCGGTTTGGTGCCCGACACCACTGCCGAATATCAGTGCACCGCCAGCACCTTCTGCCCGCTGACCAGACTGGTGAGATCCAACGACATTATGCCACGGACGCTAAATAGACGGCTAAAGAGAGCTGAAGCTTTTAGAGCATGAAAATCCAATCTGGATCGATTAGTGATACCGTAGGTATACCATAAAATTACTTCGGACTTCGGAGTTATCGGTGTAGGGTCGTTTTGCGTTTTGCTAGTAGGTATAGTTGCTTACCGTAAAGCTTTGATTCCAGTGTTACGCCTTTGATCAACCATGGTATCAAAATGCGGATGCACTGTGTACTTGCAATCATGAAGTGCATTGATGTTCGATGCAAGACAAATCACTTTATTGCAAAGGTGTTCACTGTTCCTCCTATTCATGCTCGTACACCATATTTTAAAGCGTTATAGGCATGCTTGAAGCTGTGTCCACTAGTCTGCACATTTGAATTATATATCAAAACGCCGCCTCATATGTCGCTGGTGAAATATTGATCGAAACGCCCCACGTCATAAAGCCGCGAAGTATTCGCATACGACGGCACCAGGCCGTAGCAACCCGGCGCCTTGGTGCCGGCGCCTTCCTGGAAGCCTCGTAGGCGTCGCCATTAAAAGACTGCCAGAGTACCGCGACGAATGTTAATTGCAGAACTTGACGGACTGAACTGCACTCATACGTGCCTCGAACAACCCATTTGCCTTACAGCATGCCGTGGCCGGTGCCGCTGGATTTCACTTCACCACAGAGTGTGCAATGTGCAAAACCATACATGTTATTTACGACATAAATGTCCTCCGGCGTATTCCTCCTCATTCAACCTTGGCCTCACCTGCCGTGTCATTTCCCGACAGTGCTCTGCTGGTGCTGTGGACGCCGGCACGTGCGGCACGGTGTCGGCTCCCGCCGGGTTCGCGGCCAGCGGGGCTGTGTTCTCGATCCCAGTGAGCGCCGGAGCGCACACCTACCAGGAGATCACCACGGAGGTGCTCGCTCAGCCCGGAGATATGATTCAGGTAAGCTGACACAGTTGAGCTACCGGTAAAAACATTAGGACGTCCATTATTGGTGGCCTGAGGTCCGTGACTCGTCAGGTTACCTGGTGATAACCTTGCATGTCTCGTGTCTGTCCGGTGACGTGACATATAATAACTGCGTAAGCTCGTGTCCCGTCAAAGGCCCTGATGCTCACTACGCGTTTCTGCGTCTGATCAGGTAACGTGATAACCCCGTACCCCTGTACCCGTCAGGTGACCTGTACAGACGGCGGGCTGGTGGCCGCGATGGCCGTGCCGAGCGGCGGTGACCTGGACAGCACCGGTGTCGCGTTGACCACCTCCACTGGCCAGTCTGTGCGCCACCTCCTGGAGGTGGTGGCCGCTCCTCTGCAGCAGTTCAGCTGGGCGCACACCTGTGTCACACCAGTCCAGCTGGTCACCTTCACCGCCGCGCTGCCGGACGGCGCCTCCGTCACCAACGCCACCAGCTGCGAGTACATCATCCGCAACATGTCCATCTCGCTGATGCAGGCCAATCATGAGATGGTGCCCGACACTAAGGACGGCCCCATCTACCTGGACACGGCACTGCCGGTCACTGTGCGACTGCAGATGCTCGAGGGAGCCCCAGCACTCATGAACTGGGACTACGGCACTGAGGACCTTCCCCACGGCACGCAGGACCTGCAGGCGCGGGTCGACCCAGCCACATTCTACAATCAGACTGTCACCTATCCGATGCCTGGTACCTTCATCATCAACGGTTCGGCCACAAATACCCACTCGGAGACGCTGGGCGCCACGTGGGCCACGCAGGAGGTGATTTTGCAGAACCCCGTGGTGGAGGCCTGGGCCGTGGAGATCACCAACACGCAGATCCTCACCGAGCCCACCAACGCCATCGAGGCTAACGTCAACTTCCTCGTCAAGCTGCCCGAGACGGAGCGCCTGCCGACGGACGCTTCCATCTACGCTCATTTCGGCGACGGCTACCACATGGAGGATTTCCACCCTCTCAGCGAATATGGGTACGTCGATGACATATATGACACAATCCTTAACCCGGCCGGGCCCGGGGGGTAATCCCAACCATCGCAGCCCGGGGGGGGGCGTTTTTCGCCCCCCTGTCTAACTCCGTAAATGAGGAAGGAACGGAAACAAAAGTGATACCAAACGAAAGGTCCTTACGAGACAATTCTAAGCCACCTAAAATTTTTGATCTCAGGTCAATTTTCAAGGTCAGAGGTCAAGGTCAAAGGCAAAAACCGGCACATGTGTAGCGATCTCAAAGTAAGCCTTCTAGAGGACGGCAGGATGCATCAAGCCGGCTAAATTGGGTGTCAAACAAAAGAAGAGAATCTGAGGATTCCGAAAATGTGCTCCAAATTAAAGGTCATGGTCAAGGTCACGCCCAAATTTGACCTCAAACTTTGCATTTTTTCGTACATCTTGCGTGCTAACTTCCAAAATGTTTTGAAATATTTTGAGGCTTATCAGTTCCCTATTTGAGGTTCATCTTACGATACAAGGCTGCTCAAAGGTCAAGGTCACAGAAGAGTATCCTTGCTAGAGGTTATTTCACTGATTCAAGCTATTAATAATAAAAAGACAATTTTGCCATCCGGAAGCTCTAAATGAAGGTTTAGAGGAAAATAGATGTCAGATTCGTGATCAGCGGGTACAAATTCATCATAAACGACCTTTCATGTGTCAAGGTCAACCAAAGGTCATTCGAGGTCACATGATGTCAACATAAAATTTGACCTTTTCCAAACAAAATATATATAATTCGACGCGGCTTGACAAGGCAAATGCGATGGTACCACTGTCGTAGCTCTAGGACCATTTTTGTCGAAGTTATTTGCGAAAAACTAAAACCACATTTCGGGGTCGTTGACCTGACCTCTGATCTCAGGTCATCAAAACTATTTTTCTATTTTTCTCTAGGTCAAACGCTACACAACCGTGCTCCTAATTTGTCTTTATCCCTAGGCGTTCGGGAGCTATCGCAAATATTCGCCAGGGGGGGGGAACGCCCCCCCCCCGGGCCCGCGAGAGTTAAGTTGTGAGTTACGAGGCAGACTTTGTTGTTTGATTATCTAGTTTTGTAGTTGCTTATGCCCTCTAGAATCGTGATCAAGTTGAAGAACATCATCGTTTTTCGAGTTTCTTCTAAGTTTGGGATACACGCTTCGCTAGCGTACTATAGCCACAGCCTGTACCTTTTCTGATGATAATTTCCCATTTCTATGCAATGGAAAATTGTCTAACAGGACATTTTTCTTTTACAGAATAGTCGATGGCGAGACGTTGCCTGAAGCTGGCTTCTACTCCTTCACCTTCACGCATCACTATGCACAAGCTGGATTATACAACGTAACAATCGACATGAAAAACGAAATTTCTAACGTGACACTTGAAATCCCTGTTGACGTCGAAGAGAAAATCATCGACTTTGCCGTTGAAATGAAGTTTGAACTGAATGACGCTCTATCGGATGGTCTCGGAGACGACGAGAACGAGTTTCATAATGACAAGAATATCACGTTCATCATGCTCATGACGCAGGGCAGTGTCACGAGGTATGAACTGTACAACACATCCAGTGGCGTCGAGGAACTCTTGCAAACGTTTAAAGTTGAGAACAAGCTTCACCCAACCGTAGGTGAATTCTACTATTACTTCTCCGAAAATCAGGAGCTCAACATTACTTTCAAGGCTTTCAACACTTACGAAGAATCCGATTCAGTTGAAGCGAGCATTTGGATCAAGGACCCAGTGACGGAAATAGAAGGTATCATGATTGTTGAAGGCGAAGATGTCACCTCTCGTGGAGAGGATAAGCCGATCAACATCACATTCAACTGCGCCTCGACACATTCCCTGTGTCTGGTTATCGACTACGGCGACGGTGCGCCGCTGGCCGCCTACGGAGACGAGGGCATCTGTATGGCCAACTTCTCTGAGGCTAAATTCCAGCCCAATGATCTGACCATGCCTATGATTGTGGAGCACACATATTGGGCAGATGGCAAGTACAACCTCACTGCCATACTTTTCAATCCTGTGTCGTTTGGAAAGGCATCTCTTACATTCTTGGTTGTACCATTTAGCTGCAAGAAGCCCATAATTACCGTTAACGGTGCTTCTCTTGTCAAAGAAACGGCCAACGGTTATTTCAGATCTAACCCCATTGTGGTTGATACCGAGACATACATACCAAATTGCGAAGTTCCATTTACCAGCATTGAGCGTTGGATGGTGTCAAAAATAGACCCACTCACCGGAGAAACTATTGAGCCAATTGTCATCCAGAACATCCTGCCGTCTTGGAATAAGTCCTCACTCCTCATCAAGAAAAACTTCCTGGACTTTGGTCTGTACAAATTGGACTACAGCAAGCAGCTGTACGAGGGCGATGAGCCTCCCAACATCCCCTACGAAGTGATGACCACCTCATACGTGGTCGTGATCCGTTCACCGCTCGTGGCGATCATGGTGCCCGGTTCCGTGTCACGTCTGGTGCGCGGCTGGGGCCAGCAAGCCAGCCTCGACCCCGGCAGCAACTCCATCGACCCGGACCTGCCCGAAGACAAGAGTTTCGAGTGCGAGTGGTACTGCCGCCAGCTGACCTGAGGAGTTCCCCATGAACGGTACCGTGATGCTGGACAAGCCCCTGCTGCCGGTCCGGAATGTCGGCGACCCGGTGCCGTCCGGCAGAAGTGGCTGTTTCGGAAGCGGCCCTGGTCGGCTGGACTTCAACAGCTGCAAGTGGGACATCGACACCAATATCTTCCATCCGGCCGGCGAGGACATCACTTTCCACCTGGTGGTCGTCATCAAGAAGAACGGTCGCAGAGCCGAATCGTTCATCGACCTGGAGATGGTATCTGGCAAGCCGCCGATGATGACCATCAAATGTGTGTCCCCGAAGTTGTGCTCGCCCACAGAAGGTGGTGTGTTCATCAACCCGGAAAACCGGCTTGGTCTCATCGGAAATTGCTCTTTCGATTGCTATCCGCCGTTAACCTACGAATGGACTGTGTCAATGGTGAGCAACAACTCGGTAGATCCTATCCCAATAGATGACGTCGACAAGTACATCATGTCAGAGCCAAACACAAAATATCTCTCACTTTCAAAGACAATTTACAGCAACTACTCTACCATCCAAAAGTTCCATGTCAGTCTGAAGTCTAACAATTCTCACCCATCACAGAAAACTGGTGCAGCGACGTTCTATGTGATTCGTAACAAGCCTCCGAATGTGAGAGACGCCATGTGCAAAACTAATCTGACGTGCCACAAAGCGCTTATTTGTGAGATGATCATAGAATGTCAGCTGCCAACAGACCCGGAAGGCCACGATATAGGGGAATATTCGTTTATGACAAAAACCACCAACCCCGACACCATTGACAACCCAGTATGGAAGACAGTTGCCAAGGTACCAAAGCCATCGATAACGCTTCGTTTTCCTTACGGTAACGTCACGGTATACTACAAAGTTAGCGACACACTTGGCAGCACAAGCATGAAAAAGGTAACCACCATCAACAGTCAGATGCCTTCAAAACAAGAGTATGACGAGTTCATGGACGGTCCCTTCACCAACGCCGTGAAGCTGAAGCAGACACTAAAAGTGGCGAACATAATGCAGGTAGCGGAATCCATCCGCAAGCGCGCTCCGTGGAACGCTCCTGGCTACGTCGAGGAAGGCGTGGATCCCACGGACACTGCCGCGGCCGTGTCGGCACAGAACGCCAAAGCTGTCAACGGCATTAGCAACATAGCGATGACCACCCCGGCAGCGCTGGAGATGGTTGCCAGCTCGATGGACTCGATAATCAGCTCTACCTACGGCTCGCCGGAGAGCTCTCTGAACCTGGACTCGGACACATCCTCGGCCTCAATCCGAGTGGTTGGCGACATGCTGAACGGCGCGGAGGACGCCGATCTGTCTACTCCGGAGGATATGACCGTTTCGTTCACGACCGTCAACAATGTCATCGGAGCGAACATCGGAGCCTCCGCCCTCATCGCCGAGGACACCGAGTGCAAAGCAGTGCCCCCTGCTGACTTGAAGAAGTCACCGAAAATGGAATATGACCCTCGCATCACCGATTACTCTAAGCCCGTGGACAATACGGATATCTTGAAGCAGCAGGCGTGCAATGTCCGCGATCATTCCATGGGAGCATCTGAGGAAAATGCCAAGAAGTTTGACGGAATGGGGGAGAAAATGAAGTTCCTTGCACTTCAAAAGATGGTTCTGGGTGAAACGCAGGAAATCAGATCAGCCAGTGGCGTTGTCATGAAGAACCAGATTATGAAAAATATGACAGCTGCTGTGCTGGGTATTGGCGACAGTGGAAGCAACGTACAAACTGGGGAAAATTTCTGTCCGACAGGCAACTGCGACGACCCAGTCGGTACCAGCATGGCCGAGTACCCAAAGAACACAAAGTCCGGTGCAGCGGGAGCGGATGCACTTGGCAAGGACACGAAGGTGGTCTCAATGGAGGTTACATTAGGAGACGGCTCAGAAAATGTGGCGGTCGCAAATCTCTCAGAACCACTAGTAATCACCATCAAGAAGCCAGCCATGAACATGTCAAGTGAGCCAAACTGCACGAACTGCAATCCCGGACCGTCAGGTATCGATCCGTCTGTGGCTCTGAAAGGAAAGATCGTGCCCCTAATCTACTCCCAATTCAACATACCGAGACCTGACAGCACTTTCAATGTAGAAATGTACCTGCCCACTACCGAACCTCACCGTCTGTTTGTTATGGTCAGCATTGGCAAGCAGCCGACCTTGAAGAACCACGACCTGTTCAAAATGGTAGAAGATTTCCCCAAGATCACCGAAGCTCCTTCTGAAGTTGATGCTGTTACCAAGTACGATTGGTTCGTGGGTGTAGAACATGTCAACAACCGCACTGGGAGAGTTTTTGTTGCTGTCGGCGAACTGAAGGAGGAACTAGATCTGGAAGCCATCAAACAAAAGCTTGATACCAACGAAACGATCGATGATGTCCGCTCCAAAGACCTGCTGGTCAAGAACTTTAGCACACCATATCTGATACGGACATTCACATCCGGTTGCTTCTACTTTGATAACGATCTGAACAGATGGACGTCGTATGGTTTGACATGTGTGGGTGCAGACGCAGAGACGATATCATGTGCGACCACTCACTTGTCCACTTTCGCTTCGGGACTTGTTGTTGAGCCTAACACGATCGACTTTGCCTACGTCTTTGCAAACGCCTCGTTCACTGACAACCTGACGATCTATATGACCATGATTGTATCTCTGGGTCTCTATTTGATATTGGTGATCTGGTCCCGGTATCAGGACAAGAAGGACGTCGAGAAGGTTGGTGCCAGGCCAATGCCAGACAATGTTGAAAGTGACAAATACCTCTATGAAGTCATGGTATACACCGGCCACAAGAGTGATGCAGCCACCGACTCCGTGGTGTCTATGGTGCTAGTAGGCGACAAAGACGAGACATGTCCCCGCACCTTTGGAAAACCAAAGAGAAAGTTCTTCCGCAAGGGAGGACAGGATGCTTTCGTGATGGCCTGCCCGCGGCCTCTGGGGGATCTGCTGCATCTTCGTGTGTGGCACGATAATTCAGGAGTAGGTCGGTACAGTTCCTGGTATCTGCAGTACATCCATATCCGCGACGTACAAACTGGGAAACACTACGACTTTGTTGCCGACCGATGGCTTGCGGTTGAAGAAAACGACGGAAAAATCGATGCACTTATCCCTGTCGCCGGAAAGGAGCAGCTGGGACAGTTCTCGCATGTCTTCTCGCACACATCGCAACAGAACCTGTCTGACGGTCACCTATGGTTCTCCGTGTTCCTGCGACCACCACGATCTCGCTTCACGCGTGTCCAGCGAGTCTCAAGCTGCTTCGCGCTCCTGTTCCTGTCGATGATGGTGAACGCCATGTGGTACGGAGTTGTACCCTCTACACCAAGCTCTGGCGCTCTCAACTTCGGCCCGATGTCGCTGTCAATCGAACAGATCTCAGTCGGCGTCATGTCCAACCTCATCATATTCCCACCTTCGTTCTTGATTGTGTTCCTGTTCAAGAAATCACGGGCAAGGAAGCTCAGAAAATCCCGTATTGATGAGGCCCTGGAAAAACAGAAGTTCGGGAACCAGGTTGCCAAGTCAGAACGTCCCGCTTCGGTGGCCAGTCACGGCGAGAAGAGTGATGAGGGCAATGACAAGAAGAAAAAGAAGAAGAAGAAGCCCCTGCTTCTCCCGTGGTGGTGCCGTATCATAGCTTGGATATTATGCATTATTTGCTTGTTCGGGTCTGCCTTCATCGTCTGGGCATACGGCGTGCAGTTTGGGAACGAGAAGACAACCAAGTGGCTCACCTCTCTGCTGACATCATTTTTCTCTTCGATCCTCCTCATCCAGCCAATCAAGGTGTTCCTGATTGCAATGGTTGTTTCATCGATCTTCAAGTCAGTCGACCTGGAAAGCGACGATGCCGACGAGGATGAGCGTCAACCGACTTTGGCTGCAGACGAGGAATGGATTCACAGCAAGCCGAAGAAAAGGAGGTCCAAGTACAATGGCGCCCCAGATATATATGACCAAGAAACACTCGGTAAAATGAGAAGGAATAGGCTCGATGAAGTTCAGATGTGGCGCATCATTAGGGAAATCGTAAGCTACGGATTCTTCTTGTACATCTTGATCATTTTGAGTTTCGACAATCGAGATCCTAACTCTTTCTATCTGAGGGCGAATCTTGAAGCAGCCTTCATAAAAGAGGGAGACCTGACTAATGGGAAACCCGACCTTGATTTCACGAGAGTTCATGACGCTGGGACCTTCTGGACGTGGGCGCAAAACGTGGTAATGCAGGAACTTCGTGCTCAAAACTGGTATGACTTTGTCTCACCACCATACGGCCTGAAGGGTTTCCTGGACGATCGAGTCAATCGCATCATGGGTTATGGTATGATACGGCAGATCCGCTCGAAGCCAAACACCTGCCGTATACACGGGAAATTTGCTGATTCGTTTGAGAATTGCGCTGGCCTAAGCGGTCTGTTTGACGAAGAGAATAGACACTTCTGCACCAATTGGACACTCACTGGTTCCAGAAAAGACTGCAACCGTAATGAGTATCGCTACATGACGGCTACGGACCTTGATGGCCTTCCTTACATCGGCTCTTTGGATGTATACGGAGGCGGTGGTTACGTCTATCCACTAACAGGACGAATGGGGACCATCGCGAAGAAGATGCAACAGCTGCGCGAAGAGGCTTGGATTGATCACATGACTCGAGCCGTTATGGTCGAGTTTTCAGTCTACAACAGTCAGGTGAACCTGTTCGGCATCGCCACCATCTTTGCGGAGGCTGTGCCCGGCGGTGGATTCCTACCAGGCTGGCGCTTCGACGGCGTGCGGCTGATACGGCATCATGCTGGGTTCCAGACGTTCGTGTTCATCTGTGAGATCACGTACATGTTTTTCATTATCTACTTCATGGTTCGAGAGATACGGGACATGATCAAGCAGAAGAAGGATTACTTCAAAAGCTACTGGGTCTATTCCGAGATTGCCATCATACTGCTTTCCTGGGCCGCTT